TAATACTGTAGAGTACTGTATGTGCTAAAAAGCACACAAAAAACCTTCACAGCAAGTGTGCACAGGTCTGCCTGCGACCGTGATCTCAACTAGAGGAAGCCACGACCACGTGTCAGAGCGGGGAAATGTTGCCTAACTTCCTGTTCGCAAACCTTAATTGTTCGCGAACAGAAGCGTTCGTGAACCCGAGGTATTACTGTAAATATATTTTTAAAATAAAAGCAGTGCAGGTACCTAAATGTATTCTGGTATCAGCCTCTTGTAGTGCCTTTTGAGCAAGGCTGAAGTGAGGGATAAGCAGCACAGGGAGCCAGTCAGTTTATGTTAGTCACAGGCTGGGGTGGGTTTAGGACAAACTGGGCTTTAGAGGAAGTGGGTTGAATGATGCTGACCATTGAACTGAGGACATCTAGCAACAAAACAAGAAATCGCTGGATTTAATATTGCAGAAACATATGTTTTTGTTAATTTGTCTTTTAGTAAGCCATTCATTTTTATGTTATTTTTGGCTTGAGTTCTGCTTTAAGGCTGGCTTTATCTGTGTGTGCACAATACCATGCATCAATGCACTTTGGGAAACACATTGAACATGTGTTTTAGGGGTGCTTCCATTAATTTTGAATGGTCCCCCCATCACACATCCACATAGTAAAAAAAATGCACCTGACACGGTAGCACAGCACAATGCATTCATCTGACAACACATGAGCTGTGTAGTGGTGCATTGAAAAAACATAGATCAGGTAAGTTTTTTGATTTTTGAACACTTAGTGAGGATATGAATAGGCACAACACACATTGATGAATCATGTGCATGCATGTGAATGGGTCCTTAGTGGTTTTATGTATTTCAAATGGATGCTGTATGTCAATAAATATTGTAAAGGTAATATATTTTTTAACAGATTATCATTGTTTGTTCATTTGCTATTTTTTTTAAATGCCAGTCTATTTTTTAACAGTATACATCTCAGATTATGCAATTGTATCATATTACCTAATAACATATTTATTGAGAATCTAGTTATCTCTTAAGCAGGTATTGACATATATTCTTTGCCAGTACATTGCTGTGTGTCATACTTTGACCATGCAGTCATTGAGGTTAAAGAAATACAAACTGCTCAACTTGGACTTATTCATGCCAGCGTTTATGCATTTAAAAGAGAACTATGGGGTTAAGGCTTTTCCCCATAGTTCACCTTAGGGTAACGGAAGGACACAAACTAGCGTCTTCCCGTCACCCTAAGCTCAGTATACCGCAAGCTAATGCTCGCGGTATACTGAGACGCTACAGTATACCACGAGCCACTGCTTGCGGTATACTGAGATGCCGCAGCTGAAGCGGATCCCGACAATTACAGGTGAAACTCGAATAATTAGAATATCGTGCAAAGTTAATTTATTTCACTAATGCAACTTAAAAGGTGAAACTAATATATGAGATAGACTCATTACATGCAAAGCAAGATAATTCAAGCCGTGATTTGTCATAATTGTGATGATTATGGCTTACAGCTCATGAAAACCCCAAGAACCCCAAATCCACAACCTCAAAAAAGTAGATTATTACATGCAATCAATAAAACAAGGATTGTACATAGAACAATATCGGACCTCTGAAAAGTACAAGCATGCATATGTACTCAGTACTTGGTTTGGGCCCCTTTTGCAGCACTTACTGCAATTACTTTTGCACGATATTCTAATTAATCGAGTTTCACCTGTATGTCTGGATCCGCCCAGCTGCGTGAGTGACAGCTGGCTCTGCCTACCTAGAGGCAGAGCCAGCTGTACCCGCCCCCTCCCTGTCCGTTCCGCCAGTCAGCGCTGGTGGATCGGAGCAGGGAGGGGGGAATCCAGCCACCTCCCGATCTACTGAGCCGACCTGTGACAGTCTCATTGTCACAGGTCGGCTAGAACTATGAGGTGAGTGAAAAGCTTCAACACACTCCTCTTTTGTGCCTGGCTCTCTCAGGCTCTCAAAACCTTCCAGCCCCCCAGGCTGTTCCTTGTCTGGTCTGGGCTCTTAATGAGGTTGCTCTCAGCCACCTGATCACTGGCAACACCTGACCTCAGGACTGGAGATTTCATCCTACCCAGAACTCTAAAAAATCTAAATCTAAATATCTCCAGAGATCCAGACCCTAGCTACAATCCAGGAAAACCGGAAGAAACCGAAAGGCCATCTTCTTCCCTGCAAAACAATTTACATTCTGGAACCTCTCAGCCCCTCTGGTTGAGAGTCCTGGCTGATTGTGTTGCCAGCATACTCTGTGGCATTGCCACACACTGCCACACTGGCCATACACCTATCGATTATCATTAGACTTTTTTTCGTGCCGTCATCGAACCCTCATTTGCTTTTCGATTGAATACCCCATCATGCACAGACCAATGTTGTTTTGATAATCGTTCGTTAGCAATACTAACTCACCAGATTTCGTTGATCGACAGAACAGATCTTCGTGTGCGCATGTGCAGTGTTCATGTTCCGAGTTTTTTTGTACAAATCCATTGATTTTTGTTCGATTTGAAAAAAAGTTTTCCAGCCTGACCAATCAAGGAAATTCTGCCAGGAGTACATCAACAAAAATCATTGGGTTCCCATCAACTGATCGATTATCGTCCATTAATGGACGATTTACGAATGATGATAGATGATTGGGCACCCAACTTCATTTTGGAAGTTCTATGTACACTTTCCAAAGTGAATATAATATAATATAAATAATGTTCTTTTTGAATACCCAGTCATGTACAGGAGAATTAAAAACGGATTTTTGTCTGTACGTGATTGGATCATTTCCTATGAACATAGTTTAACTTTATCAATTTTGTTCAATGTGAACAGTCTCTTTACTCAAGTAACTTGATCCCATTGTCTATGTCTTTAGAAAATATATTACACCCAATGTTTTGGAAGACAATTTCTGGCCTATGCAATTTCTGGCCTCTGTTCCAACCAGTGCAGTCCATTCCAGACCAAACCAGAAAAATACTGCTTATTCTATTTTGTCTGGTCTAGAATGCACTGGAACGAATCAAAACACATAAAAATGCATGCTACGCACTGAAACGCACCTGTAAGACCATTTTAAGCTACAAAAAAATTACAATTGCAGCAAAATCGCAGTAAAAATGCAGCAAAAACGCAATGCACTATGTTCAAGATCTGGTCTGGAAAATGGTGTGAACCCGGCCTTGTGGTCAAATAATTTATACTTGCATCAACAGCTAGATCAGCATTTCCAGTACAGGTTTGTTTGTAATGGATGCTTTTTTTAATAGAAATGATCTCTATGTTTGGGAGGATACTGTGACCTTTCCACTGAAATGTGGTATATAGAGTAGTGGTAGTAGTAGTTTTAGTAGTACATTTAGTACATTACTACAGTAGTAGTACATTTTACAGTACATTACTACAGTAGTAGTACATTTTACAGCAGATAGCCCTATTTGCTTCTGGGCCCCATAGCAGTTGCATGACCTGCTATGGCTATATTTACATCCTCAAAGCTCATCATAGACATTAGAGAGAAACAATGTAAATGCCTGTATTTATTTTAATCTAACTTTAATTTTATCATGCTCTTGTCATCCCCTGTGTAGCATTACTATGACTGGAAGGGGTAGGGGCAGCACTAGTGCACATACCCTTCTGATGAAAGAGAACATGCTGACAGGAGGAAAAAGGAGAGTGATGACTATATCAATCTATTGCTGATTCCTCACTGTCCAATCACAAGTGGAAGGCGATGTGGTGACCAGGCTGTACTGCATTAATGCAGCATTGAAAAATCAGGTCACTAGGTTGGCTACGTTATCTGGCTAAGCTGTGTAGCTCTCAGGGCTAGATTAGAGAAAAACAAATCCTTTGTCAGGTAAAACAGCAATATATGTTCTTGTGCATTTAGCGGTTTGCCTGACGTTCACCTTTAACTGCTGGTGTGGCTGTTTGCAGAATACCTTCAGTTCACAGCTAGCAGGTAGTTGGGTAAATAACTCCAATGCCCTTATCCTAGCAGAACCTGGTTCTTAGTTCAATATGCCTAGTAAAGTGTTTAAATCTAATCTATGGGATTGCGTACACCTTAGGAATGCATTGAGGCATTGCAATTGAAGAGGTTGTTTGTCCAGCACTGGTTCCTGCAGATTTGGCACATTTAGGTGCCAATTCCAACCATGAAGGGCTACATTTATTGTACTTGCTAAACTAGATTTGTATTGAGAATAGGGGAGTGTCAGGGTCACACTCTAGCTTCTACCAGAAGTCACTGCCATCCACTGCAAAGAAGTCTAGTGTGCTATCACTATATAGATTTTCAGGCATCCGAATTAACCATTTCCAATTTTCTTACTTGCCAATACATGCCAAAGGTGACAATGTCACCTGTTTATAGTGACCAACTACTCCTATTTGCAGAGACTGGTGTTCTTTATGGGTATGTTTTACAATTTGTAATGGTATTATCCATGTTTGACATAAAAAAGTTTGCATCTTAGGTTTCCTGGTCCTAAGCCAAAAAGTAAACTAAATGCTACAGCAAAGTTAACATCATTATGTGTAATTAATAAAATTACACCAATTTTATAATTTAATCTCTGATTTGCCTTTATTTAATAATCATAATATATTTGTATCAGAAGTAGTGCAGAAAAAGGAAACAGTGGTAACATTTGCATATCTTGCCAGATCTCCATCTGCACTGCTAAGCAAAAATATGCCTTATTTGTGACGTCAGTCACTTCCGTTCAGTGTGATCCTCAGTATTAAGGATTGAGTGATATGTTGATTAAAAATGGAAAAAGCTGAGTGAGTTAAGGAGACATCTTTAGTAGTAATTACTTTGGAATGACAATCTGGCTGAATAGAAGAGATTTTGTGTCTCTGAATCAGCATAAGCGAGCATAAGTAGATTTGAGAATTACTAATGGCCGGATTGTATTCAGCTCAATGCTTAATAATATATATTTTTTTCAATGTCCTGTAATTTCAGTTGTGGACAAAGCACAGAGGATGAGATTAGAGACAATACCACAGTGTTCACAAGGATCCTGGATCGTCTCCTAGATGGCTATGATAACCGCTTAAGACCGGGATTGGGAGGTTGGTAATTGTTTATAATTCTACAATTTTGCTTAATCACATAATATCTACAGAGTTGCTAGGGCACACATGACTGTACACGTGTTAAAAATTAATCACATAAGCACACACACACACATTCACAAATGTACTAGAATTTACACTTATTAAGCAGGGAAATATATGAAGTGCAGTAGACCATAGCAACCCATCAGGACTCATTTTTACTGTTCTTATTTAAAGTATACTTGCCATGAGAGAAATATTGATGGTATTTGTCTAAAAGGAAAGCTTGGCTGTGATTGTCTTCAGAGCAAGCATACAGCAAATAAAAGTCTGAAACAAGTTCGAATTATGTACTGTATGTCTGCACATGTTGAGGGTCAATGACCCAGAAAGAACTGAAGCCAAAGCAAGGAGATGATTGTTTTAATGCTAAACTACCAGATAACAACCAAAACCACCATTGAAATACATATATAGGAGCTGTTTTATCTGCCAAAATTATATTTATTTATATATTTTATTTGTATCTCAGTTAATCTAATCCTGAGCCATGGCAGACAGCAACCATAAGCTGGATTAACTAATGTTTATCTACTACTGTTAAGCCCCACGGCTAGATTGACTCCTTGCCCCCAGACTTTGATTGGACAGTGAAGTAACGGAAGCAGACTGCTGAGCTCCTTCCTCTGTCCTCTTCTTCTGACAGCTTGTTCTTTCTCAAAATATTTGCACGCAGCACACCTGTTGGGTTCCGTTTGCTTTTTCCTGGACTCCCTTCAATCCCTACAAAATGCATTCAATAATTGGTTGTAGTCAACTTAGACCCTTTTCTTTCAGGAAGCCTAAACTGAGCATTAAACTGAATCACTTACAGGGTTATTCACAAAAGGGTAAAGAGATGGAGAAGGCAGGAGAAGTGAACAATCTAGGACAAAATAGCTGATTTTGAAAAATTCTCCAATTCAGCTCACTTTCCAGGTAAGATATGTTGTCCTAGATTGTTCACTTCTCCTGCCTTCTCCAAACTCTTCACACTTTTGTGAATAACCCTGTTAAACTTGAAGGGGAACTAAATTGTGCTTTAGAAACAAATTAAAAACCTTTAGCCATAATATGCTAGTATGCACAGCATAATAACGTATCATGGCAGACTTACCTACCGAACAATTCCTTCCAACATCAATCACATTGTCCATCAATGTAGATTCTTATTAGTCATGACAACCTGCCGCCCAGCAATGTGCACCCATCCCACTCACATTGCAACATGACCAAAACCCAGGGTGTTGGTGTATGTTACCAAACCGGCCAGGGATCCTGGGTGATGTTGTTCACCAAATAAGGTTGTAGCCATGTTTGGTTTGTTTACAGACAGCAGCACATGTTAAACCTGAACCCAAAGCTTGGGCCTAATGACAGGGGCGGAAATCTGCGATGCCGATCTGCCCTGGAACAACTGAGAAAGTGTTGGAATGCTTCACCTATTGGCGGTCACACATTCCACCGCCAAAAAACTGGGCGGGATTGCGTTAAAACGTGTGACCACACCACCGGTCACACATTCTAACGTAATCACAAACTTTGATAGAACACTGCCATCAGGGGGGTATGGCCGGTACTCATGTGAGTGGTCTGGGCAGTCTGGGGGGCCTCTTACATGGGTATCAGCTGTACCAGAGGCGGCAAGGCAGAGGTCACAGTGGAGGAGGCCCCAGCAGCAGCAGGTAAGAAGATTTGGAAGGTGGTACAGGGAAAGGGACCCCGACGACCAGCCCACCTGGGACCCTGCAAAGCCAACCATAGAGAGTCTTAGGTGGGCTATGCAGGATCTACATTGTGCTCTGCAGGGTCTCAGGTAAGTCCAAAGTCCAGTGCTCTAATGCAGGCCGTGTCCTTTGCAGCATAGTTAGGGTTAGTGTGGCCTAAAAGTGCATGAAAAGTGTATAAAAGCTTTAGAAATGTATTGTATCCTAGCTATTATTTGTATAGAGCAGTGCTTGTCAACGTGCAAGGTATAGGGAGAGTCAGTTGTAACCTTTGATATCAACAAAAGGCCGCCCATAGTGTGCAATATATGTAATGCAAGAGAAGACTGTGAGGGACTACAGACCTACGAGAGGTAATGGTTGCAGACTGTGGACATGCTACATATTTGGTTGAAGGCTGGAGACATGTTGTTGATGGCATTGAGAGACTGGGAACAAGTTATTTCAAAATTTCAAAAGGCTAGTTGCCATGACCAGCACTGGTACATTTTAAAAAGGAGGTCATAT